GATGGAGCTTCCTGATTAGAGTTCTTTCTGTTCTGCTTCTCATTAATCTAGCAAGAGGTGTGTCAATTTTGTTTTTTTTCAAAGAACCAACTTTTTGTTTTATTAATCTTCTATATAGTTTATTATCAATTTCATTTAGTTCTGCTCTGATTTTTGTTATTTCTTTCTTCTGCTGGGTTTGGGGTTGGTTTGCTCATTCTTTCCAGTTCTTTGAGATGATTCATTAGATTGTTGATTTGTGACCTTTCTGTCTTTTGGATGTAGGAATTTATGAATATAAATTTTCCTCTCAGGACTGCTTTAGCTGTGTCCTACAGATTTTAATAACTTGTGTCTCCTTTATCATTTAGTTCAAAGAATCTTTTGATTTCCATCATAACTTCCTCCAGAAGTTCTTTATGCTTTCTTTGCTCTTTTTCATTCTCTTTTGGTTTTGTTCCTCTAATTGGCTAATTTCCAATGCCCTTTCTTTGCATTCATTATATCTTTTGCATCATTGGGTCTGATATTGATGTTCTCTATGAATTTTTCAGTTCTGTCATTGTCTTTAGCTCTAGAATTTGTTTTTTTTTTTAAGGTTTCTATTTCTTTATTGAACTTCTCATTTTGTTCAAAGATTTTTTTCCTGATTTCATTTGTCTCTATTTTCTTCTCATTGAGCTTTAAGACAATCATTTTAATCCTTTTTCAAGCAATTTGTATATCTCCCTTTCTTTGAGACTGGTTACTTCATTCAGCTTCATGAGTTACTTTTGACATTGTCATGTTTGCTTTATTCTTCATTATCTGTGTGGCTTTGCATTGATGTCTGTGCATTTGAAGGAACAAACACCTGCTCTAGGCTTTACTGATTGGTTTTAGTAGAAATAGGCCTCCTGTTGTGTCCCCGTGATGATGGGATTGCCTCCTGGATTGTGGTCAAGTGGGATTGAAACTGAGTCACATGGCTACTGCTGGGTCCACAGTTGGTGGGCCTGTTACCAGGGACTTGTTGAGTATGAATCCTTTCTGGTCCCTGAATGGACCAGGCTGCCACAAGTCTGGTTAGTATGGCTGGCACTGGAATGAAGGTCTGCTTGAGGGTCCTCAGACAATAGGCTTGTCACCAGGTGTGCAGACTAGTGGGGCTTTATTTGGGTTCCTAGAAAGACTCCCACTTGGTCATGGGGTAGATCCCTGGGCAGGCAGTATTGGACCCTGTCCATGTATGAGAGAGGCTGAAACTGAGTCACAGAGCTACTTCAGGTCACCAAAATCAAGGTCTACAGGCCTGCTTCAGGGGGATTCAAACAAGCATGTCTTCCAACTGGGTCTTTCACTGGGAACAGACTGCTCTCAGTCCACAGCTGAAAGGGGCTAGAGCTGAGTTATGTGGCCATTTCAGGCTCTACAGCCAGGAACAAGGTCAGCAGGCTATCATCCAAGATACAAGTGGATATGACTCCTCTTAGGTTTCTTGGAGGCTAGTTCTCCTAACAGGATCAAGACCAAACATGGGCAGCTTAGTCCACAAGGGAACAGGACTATAGTCTGCAAACCTGCGCCTGGGTGCAATTAGTCCCTCTCTAAATGGACTTCCTAGGTCTTGAGCTTCACTAGGGTTTCACAAACTCCCCAACTGAATCCCAAAGTTCCCACAAAGGCACTTTTGTCTGTGGCTGGTTGATAAAATTATTGTTGCTGTGGGGATATCCAAGCAAGAGAGCTCCTATTCTGCCATATTGCTGGTGTCACTCTCCCTACTTCTCAAAGCACTTCAGATATTTTCCATTGAACAAAATCCATTATCATTCATTCAGTTCATAACTCCATTAAATAGTAGTTACTGAATACACACTGTAACAAAGGTATTGTTGGAAATCAGAGGGATTATAAATCATGGTTTCTGTCCATAAGGATCTTATGATCTAAGGAGACAAACATAAGATGTAAGTATCAGTTCAATATAACAATTTAGTACATGCCATAAGGCAGAACATACATAATTAACAGATATTATTTTCTTTAGAAGTGCATTGAGAAGCCCATCTTATGGCAGATGGAATTTTAGAAATGCTCTAATTCAGACTAGAATTGCTTTACTAATGCTAATTTAATAGTATTAAATCTTACTTTACTTTAAAAAAAAAGCAGGAAGAAATAGGTCCCAATATCAAGAAGAACAAGTATATATCTCTTGTAACTAATTCATTACACCTTGTTCTTATGTCTTATTATGGAAAAAGAAAATGATGGACCAATAGCAAGGATTACTTTTTGAGAAACCAGGGTTTCCAAAAACAGGTATGTTTTAAAGATTGTTAGCATAAAATTCACTTTCAAGGTTCTTTTCTTGACACTTTATCTACATGTTAAAAAAAAATAGTACCTGGCCAGGGAAGTAATTCTTTTTATTTTATAAATGTAAGCACTCCCTAGAAATGTCTTAAATAATAAACCTCATCTACTTGTCATTAACATCCTCTTAAATGGTCAGTATTCAAGTAATGTTTTGTTAAATAATCCATGGAATGACAAACAACTCATTTTTTAAAAAATCAGAAATAAACACTAAACTTAAAAAAGTAACAATGAAAAAATATCTGTAAAAGTACATGTTAATAAACTTTTCTGTATTTAATGGACACATCTTTCAGAAGTTATCTAAATTAGAAATCAGGGTTTCAAAATAGTATTTATACAAAATTCCAGAAATTAGAGATAAATTTAAGCTGAATAATTTTTTATTTTATGAATTTCTATATAAAACAAAAATCTATGTTTTCTGGACTGAAATATGGAAATATATAAAATAATTCTAAGGTATTTACTCCATGTTGCTTAATAGCCACAATTATGCTTTTCAATATAGTATTTAGGAAATGTTTTTAACTAAGCTATTCAAGTGTAATAAGCACAAAGACTCCTGGGAATGTAATTATCTAGTTTGTTTTGAATCAGACTGTCTGCAGTTAGTCTAGTGTGTTAATAAGGTCTACAAGGATTAGAACCAGTCAACATATGAATTATGAAACTTCTAGTAAACCTGAAGAACAGAAGAAAAAGATCAACTCATAGGGGAAATTGTGGTATCCCTACAGGGCTGTGGAATATTATTCACAACCATAGCAGGTGTAGACTTAAAAACCAGGAAATATAGGGTTCAACTAAAAAAGGCTTTGTCGCCTAAAAACAAAATAAAATAAATAGCATATACTTCTCAACATGCGAACGTTCCCAACATAAATGGAAGGTATTCATCTACTATAGGTAACAAGGTAGAGAAAAATGTTATAGCAATGTTTTGACAAACATCACAGATAGTAAAAAACGTCATCGTTAAGCCTAGTTATTTTAAAATGAAAATAGTTATTGTGATGTTTTTACTTAAGAAATTTGCCATATATGTTTGAAAATGTTTTTCCATCATTTGTACTTGAGTTTATGTTTTTTCATTTCAGCATATTATGGGGGTACAAATGTTAAGGTTACATATATTGCCCATGCCCCCCTCACCCCTCGAGTCAGAGCTTCAAGCGTGACCATCCCCCAAACGTTGCAAATCTCACTCATTGTGTAATTGAGTTTATTGACTTTTGAGTATTTAAAATTATAAATTGTTATTGAATTCTAGAATAATTTTTTCTAGTCAAACTTTAAAGATGTATTCATTAAAAGAATCTTAATTCCAAAAACAGGAGTCTATAGTTTCAAAATAAACTGAGGCTCAAAATAAAAAGAAAAGGGAGAAACCAAGTCAAGGAAAGAATATATCTCTTGGTTGAGCAAACAAATTCAAATCTAAGAAAATAGGGCAGTTTTCTCAGAAGAAATTAGCCCTTCAATTGATTTAGAGAGAGTTTACTGATGGAATTAAATGGTTTCACGGTATCCAGCTATCAAGAAATCCACCTGTAAAAGGACCAAAAGGTGAGTTTATGGGGTCCAGATAAAACAACACTGTGGTGCAGTTTAAACATTTTTCTAACCTGTAGTTCAAGGGGAGGGTCACTGATCATTTGACACAATTAAGTATCAATAGGTGAATCACTTTTGATAAATTGATTAAAACATCTCTTACCACCATCCAACTACCTTTCCTATAGTTCTTACATCTCAGTTTTCCCATCTTAGTTTCTCTTCTGAAATGAGAAAGTGATGACCAGCTCATGAACATCATACATTTGGCAGTTACGTTTCTGATTTATAGTATATTTTGTCACAAATCAGTTCCTTGAGAATTTGGGTCTCCTGTGACTCCTCCGGGGGCTGAATCATTTCTGACAAGACTCCAAGAAATCATTTCTGACAAGACTCCAGGACTCTCTTAGATGCAGACCAAGCCCTGGAACAAAGGGCTCTGGGCTCTGGCACTTTCAGGGCTCCATGTGGAATTATCTATCACAATGCCAGTATGGGGGGCCATCATCTCCACTGTACTTGTGAGTGGATTCAGAGCCCAATTTTCATCAAACTGATCGAAGCTATTTCTAGTACATTAATTTATAAAAGTTATAGGAAATGTCTAAAAACATGGCAGCTATGGTGATTCTAAAAAACACTCTAAAGCTCCCCAATACAAACTGCCTGAATTTAAATATTGTTCAATTGACTAAGCATCTCTTCTCTTGGAGATCTAACATTTTAAGTCCAAACAGCCTCTGTGTTATCATTTTGACTTAGGTTTAAAGTCCAAAGAGTATTTTAAAAGGGAGTGAAGGGAATATGTATCATTTTCTCTCTAAGGTGTTTTGGGAATTATAATTTGTTTTACATTCTATCAGATTATCTTAATAAGTCTCACTAGATGGAAAACAATTTGTCTACGTTCAGCTTTAATAGTAAAAATGTGAACTTCGGAGACATGAAGCATAAAAGATATATCAAGTTCATTATATAAACAAAGGGTTTATTTTACTTCAGGGAATATAATGACTAAAAAGTAATAATTGAATGTGTACTAGACAGACAACTCTAGAGGAATGTTTTATAGTTTATCCAAAATTAAACAATGCATCAAGTACATTTTAGATTTACTTTATTATTTTTAATGAACTATGTTTAACATTTTACAAATCTTCAGATTGTTACAGTTTTCAGCAGTAAATATAGCAGTAACATCAATAAATACGCTGAAATATGAGAGTTCTCTGAAAGAATACAAAAGATAGAAACACTTGGAAACAAGGGGCAAAATGTCAACTCTAGGTCTGAAACAGAAATTAATACAGCTGAATTCCTTTACAATGCTGGCACATGGGGAAATGAGTAACTCACACCTTGTAAATGAATTTGTAACTTTGAGCTTTATCTTTCTGGGAAGTTTTGAGGGACATAATTTGACCCACAGATCTCTAAAACCCTATATTACATATTGATACCAGAGGATTCAAACACACAGAAAATGATCTGAAAATGATTGCCAAAGCAAAGGAAGTGCTTTTATTCATCAACATTTGTGATCTTCATGGCCTACTATGTATTATAAAAGGGTATAATCCCTATATAACTGCATAAAGTCATAAAAATTGATTTTACAAACTCTCAAGATCATATTATGTATTCAAAAATACATATAACTGTGCTTTAGTAAATGAATCCATCAGTTGAGACAATTTTGCCTTTAAGGTATATCCAAAGTATATACAAATAATCCACAAATGTTAACAATTTGTGACTAAAATTATCTAGGTTTCCATTTGCAGAAAAATTGTATTGGTTTTCAATTTAAAAATTTAAGAAAGTTGTAAGTATTGATTTATCACTTTTGGGTTAAGAAAAAGTAGATGGCTTCAGCTTTTTAACAGGAAATCTGTGAACTACACACAAATGAGAAGTCACATTCTTTTGATCATTAGAAAAGATAAATTGCCTATAATTCCCAATTGAGAACAGCATGTGCAGTATAAAGAAAAAAGTTTTATTCTGAAACCAAACAAGTAGTTCTAGAAAAGCCCTTGGGATACATAGTCTCATTTCCCTTACACAAGAATGAATAAAATAAATGCCATACCTGAATGGTAAAATGGTATACCCTTATACCAATCTGTGTATTTCATTACCAAGCTGAGATGAAACATTTTTATTTAAAGGTGGGAAAATATATACATTAAAAATATTGAGGAGGTACAACATTTTGCTATATAGTTTCTAACTCAATCCAACATAAACAATTATCAATATATACTGGATTCAAAAAAGGATTAAACACACAAAAGCGAAATGTTACATGCAAAATTCATTGTTCCAACATGAAACACTAACTCTATTTCTTAATAAAACTGCACATCTGTATAATCTGGCTAACAGAAAATGCACACATAAGATGTTATTATATCCTTCTAATAATGCAGGTCTATATCAAAGGCACTTCAGCAGAGTACTAACTTTTTAACCTTTTCCAAATCATTTTCATTCATGCTGCTTTTGATGTATCTTTCTGTATAAGACTAATAAGAAGCTTCATCTAATGGTGAGCCTTATCACTACTCTAATGATAAAAAGCAGCAGCCTAGGAATTACACAAAATGTTTATTTCTTCTATGGATTGGGGTAATACATAGCAAACATTTGCCTAGGTCTTTATGTTCTTTGGGTTAATATAGAAAGGTAGGACAGTTACCTGACAGGACATGTTTCAGAAGTGGTTATAAGAAAAAATTGCTGAAGTCTACTATCTTAGGGAAGAAAGCTGTTGTCTTTCATTGTACATTTATCTACAATTTTACTAAAGCTAATGTGGCCATTTTGGTTCTTTCAACTTGTTTGCCTGGTTTGGGTCTCTATGTTGCTCCCATTTTGAATAATAGGGGATGAAAAATCAATTTAGTTTCACTTTTCCCCCAAGGGAAAAAGGGAAAAGTGCTTCAGATATTTGTCTTCATGGAAATTTTAAGAAAAATGGGATGAGTTGATTTTACTTAACAATAAACTTTCATTTTTAGGACATACCAATGATAATTCAGAGTTGAAGACACAATTAAAAACAGCTGTTAAATGTATGCACACTGAATTCTTTGCTATAATGAAAAGAATGTGGATATATTACGTACAAAACCGAAAAAAATGTTGCAAAGGTTATCAGTGACTTAAGGAAAAACTTTTACTTTTCCCCTGAAGTTGAAACTATTTTCCTCATACTCCTTTTATGAATGTCAACATCTGATGTAGAACTAATATCCTGAAGGTATTTTCAAGTCTCAGAAAACTGGCATTTCTTTTTCTGCCCATCAACATTTCAGGGGAAAAAATTAATGTTTATCTCCACATATTTTGTTAACTTTTTGGTGTTCATGAAAAATTGTCAGATCATTGATTTTCTTATTTTTTAACTTGATAGCCTTTAAATGACTGAGATTGGGATTTTGGAATAGAGGAAATATACTAAAACTGACTTTAGCCTACATGTATCAGTGAGCCTTAACCTAAAGTCACAGACGTTTTTTTCAGATTGTTGAAGGGTAGAAAAAAAGTAAATTTAAAATAAAAATTCAGTATCGGAACATTCATTTCTCAAATTTTGAAATAAGAAATTAACATCTTATTTATTCTGTGAAATTATATCCAAAAACAATCAAAGAGTTGGTGTCTCCATCTCTAATGACCAAGCAGCTTCTTGCTCATCTTATGTGAATGTAGGATTTACTTTTGGGATGACATAATACACATGCTGTTTATCTCAGAAAATGTTTGGTTTTAAACTCCAGTATAAACATCAGTCCAGAACATGTATCAAGTAATTCTCAAGTACAGGCAGAGGAGGAAATAATAATATTTCACAAACATGATACCTGAAGAAGACAGTTTCATTTCTAAATGTTCCATAGGGTAGTCACCAAGGCAGAGGCAACCTTTTTGTAAGCAATTTTAGTAGTACATGTTTCACTGTGTTATTCTTAACATAGGCAGGGCTAAATTGGTTGATCGAGCAACATTGTCAGATAATATCTTGATGCCATTTTACATTTTGAAAACTTGGATACTTCAGATTCATCACCCAAAAATAAATGAAAAGAATAGGTCTCTTGGTATCTTTCTGATTACTGCATTACCATTTCACTATTACTCTGCTTGAGACATGTCCAGGGACCATGAGATTGCTCAGTCTCAGCTTCTTAAGTTCATACTGCAATTTACAACAAGGAGCAAGAATAGACAGCACGAGACAGCAGACACACAACCACCCTAGGAGTTAATTTATGGGGATCAGTGGGCGTTCCTCTCGCTTCTTCCAGATATTAGTCTTGCTATCTCTTTTGGCTAGTGGTGGTCTGCCCCTTCTTTTAGTGGGGGATGTATTGGCTTCAAAATCTTCAGCAGTGCTTTTTCTTCCCGGGGACTCTTCCCCAGGGTGCTCCATAATAACTCCACTCCCTCCATCTAGGATGTGCCTTAAAGCGGGGTCCTCGGGGGAGCAGACAGTGGTTCCACTCTCACTGCTGCTGAGGTCTAAATCTTCTAAGTAAAGGATCTTGGGTTGATGCATGCTTTTGATGAATGTTTTCTCCCTCTCAAGCTTTCTACTAGAGTGATGCTCGTTCATGTCTACCCCAGAGTCCAGACTTGTGTCATTGCTCTGGGTTCTCTTGCCCTTTTTCAGGTCTATAAAGGAGTGCCTCACTTGCGCGACTGGCTTTCCATCAAGAGAAACAAACCAGGCTCTGGGATGGGGGGAGGGCTTTCCTTTGGACAGCTCCAGGAGGGTCTGTTCTGAAATTCCTTGAAGTTCCGATGAGAATGGAGTCATTACAACAGCCTCGTTTAGTGTTCCAGGAACAGAGACGGATTCCAGTAAGCTGTTCGAATATCGGCTCCAATCTGAAGTCTGGGATGGCAAACTCTGTTGACCTTCAAGTATGATATTCTCTTCCCTGGCATCTGCAGGCTGTGCATGAGAATGCATTGGCATTTTGGGCAATGTCTGTGTAAAGTTCTCTCTGTTTACTGGTTCCATCAACTGGCCATAGACTAACTGTCCCTTTCTTGGCAAAGTAGCTGACTTAGTAGCATGTAACTGCTCTGGAGTGGAGAAGAGGTCGGATGTTTGAAGGATGGCAATGGGTTGGCTATAGATATGCATAAGCTGCTCAGGAATGTGGGAACGCCCATACACCTCCTCATTCCCTGGGAGATACCTCTTTTCCTCTTGAGCATCACCTAAAGATGAAGATAGATTGTTGTTAATATGTTTAGGTTGTTTGGATCCTACATTGGGCTCCAAAGACTGCGTTGGGTTTCTCGAATAATTATTTTGATTGACTGACAAAAATGAAACATCTTCATTGTAGATTTTAAAATTGTCCCGAGTTTTTACCATGGAAACTCTTTCTTCCGCTTCTGTCTTTGATGGTTCCTTTTTCTGAGGGCTATATGAGGAGTTTTTGGCATTGAGTAACTGTGACTTGTCCTCAGCTTTTAATGCAACTTTGACTGAACTGATGTGATTTATGTGTGTTGTTGAAGTCGTCTGGTCTCTCTTGAGAACCTCAAGCTTAGTGATATTTCTTTCTCTTTTCTGTGGAGTACCACACTTATCCCTAAAATAGAAGAGAAGGCAAAAAATATTTAAAAGTTATGATCTGAAAGGTTCATTTTTTCAAAATAACCCCACAATCTGCACATCACAGGTTCAATGCTACCGTTAGAATATATCCGTTTTTATTTTTAATCTACATATTTCAAAGACTAAACTATTTCTAAAATAAACTTTGTAATGCACAGAACATACTGAAATACTATAATTTGATGGTTCATATCATACACATTAATATTGTGTATTCATATACATGAATATTGTTCTTACCTGCAATAGCAAAGCAGTATAGCAAAAAATCCAATGACAATGACTATTGTTCCACCTAATATGGCTGTAAGAAACACTGTGTGGTAGGCAGTTATGTCCTTGGAATCTTCATTTACACCTGAACCTACATGGTTCAATATAAACAAAGAAAATGTTATTTTAGATCAAATGTTCAACTTCTGGGTGAGGCAAATTGAGTATGTGTACACACTTTTGTTTGCTTCTCTCCTATGGCAGACTTCCCTGTGGGTAAAGTATACCTTCCCTATTCTCTGACCTTAACCAGTTGACTTGTTTTGACCAATGAAATGTGAGCACACCTTAAGTGAGGCTGCATGGTGTGCCTCTGCTCTCTTGCTCAGGCCTTCTAGTATGTGAACATTGGAAAGTCACTACTTCTTCAACCTGGGGCCTAGAATGAGAAAATCCACTGAACTGAACCAAGCCAAGCCCAACAGTATAGAAGTCAACCCCAAACACTTGTAAAATATAAGTAGCAAATAAATGTTCGATATTATTAGCCACTGAGACAGCAGGGTTGTTTGTTACTGTAGCAATGCCTGCAGAAATTGCTATCTAGATGCTGCTATCACAGAAACCTAAAATATTGACACTGGCTTCCAGATTAGACAATGAGTAGTGAGGAAATGGTTTTAAGAGGCAGTAAAGTGGTAACCCAAGTAGCAATAAATTTGGCAAAATAATCTGGGAGAAAATATTTCTAACTAATTTAAGCTTTGTGCTAAGAGGTTTTGAAATACAATGTTGGTAGTGACTGTTGATTAGCTGCATTTGATTAAAAAAATTCTGAAGTTAAATTAAAAAAAAAAGAATTTGCCAAAGCAAGCAGGGATGTAAGGAATAGAGAGATCCAAAAATTCTGGGACTTGAAGAACTATGAGTTATAACTCCTTCCACCTACACTCTAGAACAAGACAACACCCCAAGTAAGCCAAGCCCAGCAGAGGCACAGTTGACCCACTATCCTCCTGTTTTGACAGAGCACACATATATACAAATGAGGCTTCCATCAGCACCAAGGACACTGGAAGAAACTGAAAGACCCACCAGGTCTATTAAGTCTATTTTTTAAATTCTTTATTGTCTAATTTTATAAAGGCAAAGTAATAATAATGATTTTAAAAGTTTAGAGAAGCAGCATTGTGGATTTCCATATAGACTTTGGAACCAGAGTGTCTGAATTAGGATCCTGGCCTCATCATTTATTTTTATGTGGTCTTGGGCAAGTTTCATTTCTTTGTATCTCAGTTCCTTCATCATTTGTAGAGCAGTAATAACAGTTATATCTAACCCATGCGAGTTGTCCAGGATGAAATGAGTTAATACTTGTGAAACAGATCAGTGCTTGGTTCATGATGAACACTCAGTGTTAGCTCTACCACACCTTTGTTGTTGAATGAAGCTTCAAGGTTGTATAAAAGACATTCTAGTATTGGCCACAGTTTCACAGATGGTGACTGAAAATAAAGCCTTTATCTTTTCTAATAGGCAAACAAGTAGAGCAATGCATAATATGAAATTTCTTCAAAAAAAGAAATGCAAGTAACTTAATCCTATCTGCAGACTCCTAAGGAGGATCAAGAGCTGCAGGACAGTAAAGTTTGATTACAACTGGGTATATATTAATACATGTTTCCACAGTGGAGTAATGCCAGCAATTTTTACCCCACAGGAATCCAACAGAACTCACATTTGGAAAATAGGTTGATAACTATTGGGCTTGCTCCAAATCCTATACATATGACAGTAGCAAAAGAGTATGCATCTGTGCTTGTGTGTATGCCTGGGGGTTAGAAAAGTAGAACATCACAATGTATTTTCATTCAAATAGATTTGGAAATGCATATTGAAAACATTAATAAACACTTGTTTATTAAATTCTATGCTCTGCCAACTACTTTCTCACAACAATCTGAAAAATTATTTTAATCTCTTGCATTTAACATTTTCACCAAGGAATTCTATTTAAAATTTAATTTAAAAAACAAAATTTAGTACATTATAATAACCACATTATTACTAAAGTAGCTCTGGCACATCAGACACTAATTAGCCCATCATAGGACCAATTTTGATTTTATAGTAATAATCACATCTTTAAATGTTTAAGAATATTAGGTAGGGATTGTGACATTATACGCGCGCGCACACACACGCTCTCTCTCCTAGTTTCTGACACAGCTTCTAAAACCCTTGGAATTTCCTGAGCAATAAGGGTGCTAGAAGAATCTTTTGTTCTATTATTTGGTCTTTGACCCCAGTTCCTGACACAGAGTGCCTAAATCCTTGGAATGTCCAGGATGATAGGAGAGTCTTTTATTCCAATGAAGCAACTGTTGGTGGGCTCCTGGATGGGGGCTGGTCACCTGAAAGACCAGGCCATGGTCAGAAGCTTGAAACCTTCAGCCCTACTCCCAGCCTCTGGGGAAGGGAGAGGGGCTGGAGATTGAGTTAATAATCAATCATGCCCTATATAATGAAGCCTCCATAAAAATCCCAAAAGTATGGGGTTCAGAACACTGAATACATCCATGGGCCAGGAGGGTGGTGTGCACCCCAGCTCTATGGGGACAAAAGCTCCTGCACTCGGGACCCTTACAGACCTTGCCCTGTGTACTCCTTTATCTGGCTTCTCATCTGTATCCTTTATTATACTCTGTATAATGAACTGGTAATGTGTTTCCCTGAGTTTTCTGAACCTCCATAGCAAATTATTGAGCCTAAGGGAGAAGGTTGTGGGAATCCCCAATTTGAAGCCATGTCCAATAGTGTGGGTCACCTGGGGACATGCTACTTGGAATTGGCATCTGAAGTTGGGACAGTGTTGTAGGATTGAGCCCTTAACCTGTGGGATCTGATGCTAACTTCATAATAGAGAGTATCAGAATTGAACTGAGTTATAGGACATCCAGTCAATGTCCACTGAGAATTGGTTGGTATGGGAAAAGGCCACGTGAGGACCTTGTGAGAAGGTAACATCTACAAACCTTACAGCACCATGATCTTGGACTTCTATCCTCCAGACTGTGAGAAACTATATTTCTATTGTTTAACCACTTCGGTACAGCGCTCACCAGCCATGAAACCTTGCTCACAACCGGCACTCATAGTCCACGGGATAGTTTGTGCTGTGCATTGACGACGAATCCATTTTGCTCTTGTGATGAGGAAAGCTTTAAAGCACTGAAAGCTTGTTTTATTTTACAGGCAGCTTTACTTGTAGTGTAAATCAGAATAGGTAACATATACATATATGTTTTCATTACGTTATTTTTAAATGTTCACAATTTTATTTTGATAAATGAAAAATTAGAAAAGTGAATTCAAAATTATAGTTTTATTTCATTTATATCAAGAAATAAGGCAAGTTTTTGAATATTACGATAAATTTTATTCTTTGGTATGATAAATTTCAAAGCATGGGGCTACACATAGGCCAACATTACATTGTTTACAATAGTATCTAGTACTACGCCTTTTATTATTTTTTGAGCGTACAATACATCTTCTTAATGGATTTTTCCTTTTTGTTTTATCACTATTGTAAGGTGCTGGAAAATGTCTTTCTCTAAAATGAGACTTTCTGATGCAGTACAAGGGTTGTATTGCCTTGATTCGGAGTACTGTCATAGAAGTTTTGTTATTGACTCTAAAAGTTGATGCTTAGCTGTGTGCCTTCATATCATGGCTGTCAGCTAAAGTCGATGCTTGTATGGAAGTGGTTAAGCCATCCAGTCTGTGGTATTTTGTTTTGGCAGCCTGAACAGACTAAGGCAATATCCAACTCCCCTGCTTTAGAAACAAGAAAACTAATACACTCAAGATGGGTAAGTACCTATTTCAAGCTCACTCAATTAATTACAAGCAAAGCCAGCGCTATCAAGTTATCTATACTTCTAGTATGGGGTTCCATTGTTTATGATATGCTTGCACAATAGATTTTTCAAAAGAATCACTAGAAGGTTTCTAATTCAAACTAATTGAGAATCCCATACTTTTATTTTAGTACTCTGATCCACACAAAATCTTTTCTAACAGATAAGCTAGGACAGAACTTTACCTGTTTTAGAAAACAATTTTGGCTTTTATAATTTACAAAGCCATCTTATATAAATTGATTGTTTCAGATATATTCTTAGTGGACGTATATTCATTTATAAAACTCAAATGCTTCTTAGGGTTATTTTTATTAAAAATTAAATAACTTGATTTAATTGAGTTAAAGTATTAAATATTAATTATTCTTTTTCATCAATATTTCATTATAGTTGCAAATTTAGAATGGGATAAGGCCAGACAGCTGGCAAGACTGCATGATATTTTACATCATGAGGAGCAAAAGTAACTATCCTCTGGTTCTAAAAATAATATTGTAAGCACTAAATTCAAATAGAAACAAAAAGAACATCCCTCTTGATCAGGTATGGATAATGATTCATATTTCTTTTACTGGAATACTAAATTTTGGCTTCACTGAAAAGTCTTATCATGGATAGTTTTAAATTCAAATATTGCCAATATAAAATGAAAATAAAAATCAAACTGGCTTACCAAAACTCTTTCAGAAAACCCTGAGGGCCTTCAAAATAATAGTTGCTATAAAGTTAGATGGTAGAATGCTGCAGAGAAACATATGTAAAAGGTCATCCATGTCCCAGACCAAGGTACGTATTGGGACTATCCCTAATCTGCTGTGCAGTCAGCAGTAGCTGCCTCTCAGCTGGAAGCAAAAACACTTGACAAACCCAAAGGATCATCCCTGACACATGACTGAAGATGATAAAATTAGATGTATACATTCAACTTGCACTCTAAGATCTTCACTAAATGTTGCTTTGTTTTGATTCTGTAAATACACAAACCTACAAAGATAAAGGAAAATGAGAAAACAGATGGCAGCAACAAAATGCTGAAGACCAGAAAGTTAATTTAGCAAAGCTGGTGGTAGAGAAAGCGAAAAAAACACCCAATTTATGGCAGGAAACACGCAAGGATCCTGAAAGTGGTAGCAGGCTGACAGTGCAACCAGCCTAGACAAAAGCAGGTGAGAAGATTTTTTTTTCAAGAAGATTTAATGGATAAAATAGGCAATGCTTGAGTATTTTGAGAAATTTATACAACTTGAGATGAATGTAGGGTTTGGTTTCCTTATGTACAAATTATTTAGATCATTTTATACCATGTTAAATCTAAGGACATGCTCATTTCTCCTGGAATATGAATGTCCCTACTGGACAATTCATTGTTTTTTACCACCAGCTTCCATCTACTTTCTGTTCAATATGTAAGTCCAATTATCATTTAGTATATCACTTGTCTTCTCTTAGAAATAGCCACTATTATTCAAGAGGGCACTATTATTCTGGAACTTTTCCCCCCATACCCCTATGAAGGGTATACTCATGACCCAATGGGATAATCATTCTTCATCCTTATAATGATCAGAAACATTGAGGAAAAGACTGGAAATGCTTGGAGCCAGCCATCACACAGCGGCAACCTGGCAAAGACAGTCAAGCAGGCCTGCTAACTGGGCCTCCTGGCGCTGCAGGGATTCCTGGCTTTTAGCATTTGGTTCTTCAGCCTTTCCTAGGATCCGGTGAACTCTCCACATACTTCTAATACAGTAAATTCTTTAAATTATCCAAAATCTTTTTCTGTTGCTTGAAACCAAAAGTTTTAACTGATCTGGGTAGAATTTATTTATGACAAAGTAAACCAAGAAAATTAAACTTCAGTCTTCACAGATTGATCTATCATATATTCATATAAGGGGACTTAGAGTTCACAGAGCTTAATCTTTTCTTATACACATGGAAAAAAAGCTGAGATCAAGAGATTAAGTGCTTTTCCCAGTGTCACAAAGCTGGTAAGTGGAAATGCTTAGAATGAAACTGAGGTCTGCTGATATCAATTACAGCAAGACTAACTGGATTACTTTTAAATATTACTTTAATTTTTACAATACCTCTAGTTCCTGGAAGTGGAGCTGCTATCCAGTAGCCCAAATGTGGTGCATCATATGTCCAAATTAGATGACTGTTATATTCCTTTACGATTCCCCGGCCATGATTTACCCAAGCACCTAAAAAGGAAGGTAAGTAAAAAATACCAGTTAGTTATGGTTATATATCTTTAGAGCTGATAGGATTTTGCTAACAATCATAGGTTATAGCATACTTCACAGGACTTTTTCAAAGATTATGAAAATTGTGGCAATATATTATCCTAGGATAATATATATTATATCATATTATAGACATACTATAATATATAAAATAGAATAATTTGGATGATTTGTTATGATCAAAACAAATCATTATAAATAAAGGATACAATGCAGAGATATTCAGAAAAATCATGACTCTCCAAATGTCTAAAATGTGCACATTGAGATATCTTTTAAGGGTGTGAATAATGGAATCTCAATTCATCATCAGGTAGTTATTTGTCATCTGTTGTGGGACTGTGATTAAACACAGTATGTGTTTTATGGCCTTATTAATTTTTTATTAAATATTTTGTTCTAGTACTGTTGGCATTGTTCTTTTAGAACTTTCTTAAACTTTCAAAAAATGTTGAGATAATAAAATTTTGCCATCCACACAAAAGAGAATTCAGTAAAACCTATATCTTTTATAAAGTTTTATTTATAAATGGCATAACAAAGCTGCAAGTTTGGTATATATTTGTATTTTGATTTGATTTCTTGTAGTAAATTACTTATAACATATAAAACAGCCTTTTTAAAGGTACAAAAACTTAAAATGATGGGAATGATTTAATCTATTGCTTTTTTAAATAGTCATAAAGTGTTGCATAGGTATAAATCAATTCAAAAATTTTATAACTGAAAGGTACTTTAGAAACAAAGACATTTGCTAAGAGGGACAAGCAGAAACCAGGACTCAAACGTTTAGCAGCTATTCTTTGTTAAAGTGCTTTAAAACAACTTTCTCATTCAACAAATTAGGAAACTAAGGCCTAAGTAAGTTAAATGACTTGTTCCAAATGGTACTGCTGATAAATGGACAGTGATTCATAATAGGATATTATCACGGTTGTATAGTTTCTACTCTTTCTTAAAAACATAAATATATTACTGCTTATCTTCTATAGTGAAAATGTGTGTGGTTTTTTGGCCTCGCTACCCATACTTTCAGTTACAGTGAAATCCCATTCCAAGTCTCTCCTTTGAGAAGCTACCACTCCCTATTCTCAGTCCACATGACTAGTTTGGGATTCCATCCCCAGCTTCAACAGGTAACCTAAGCCTACATAAATGTGTGCAAGATGGGCATGCAAACGCCACTCTACAACTGCAGTGAATCCAAGAGCTTGTGCAGAGAACTGCAGTGAATTTAAGAGCTATTAGGAAAAGAATCCCTTTTCCATTGGACTTCAACCTGGCTAAGTATAAAGTTATAGCACCTACAGCCTTCTTGTCACTCTGAAGGGAAATACTACCCTAGAAAGAAGCTAACACTGAGGAAACAGACGAAAGAAACCAAACCCTATAAAACTGCTTAGGCTTTGTAGCATGCCTCACCCAAGGCAGTCCTACTTCGGGACTTTTCAATTATGGGTTGATCATCTCTTTTTCTTCTTCTTCTTTTTTTTTTTTTTTTTTTTTTGGTAACTAAGATTCCTACCTTATTTACAAAGGAGCACAAGAACAAAACTAAGGGAAGCCATGGAGGAATATATACATAATAATTCTAGATGCTATTTAGAAGGCAAAACCCAGTGATGAAAATTGGTATGTAAAGATTTTTTTCCCTGGAAGGGGAGTAATAATCACTCTGTCTCTTAATAACACAGTATTGTTTGTTTTTGTGAAGTTAGCATACATCTCTCAATTCCCTTAACCAAGCTTTTAGATAAGCTCATATTGCCTATAAAAAGAAAAAAATCCTAGAAGGAAAAATAATTTAAAAAATTTATTTCTCTCTAAATGTTAGATATTAAAAGGGCAAGGGAATGTAAATAAATATTGGGGTTTTTTTGTATAATGATATAATAATGCTATTTTTTTATATAATTTCCCCCCATAGCTGTATTAATCAAAGTGAGGCCAATTTTGGTCACTAACAAAGTAAAATAATGATGCTACTGAAAAACTACAGCTGTATCAAATTCTAAGACAAAAGATTCAAATATTTAAAAGAAAATGTTCAAAATATTCAGAATATCTTCACCTAGCTCACATACCTGTGTTCATATCAAATGTCCAAGCAGGTATTCGATCCCCTGCACTTATATCATTTGTATGTAGAAGGGGAAGAGAAACTTGAATAGAGCCATCCACCTTTAATTCTTTTCCTCCTGAATATATTTTCACACATATTGCAGCAAGAGGAGTCAATTCAATGTTTTCAAAACCTAAAAAAAAGAGTTTATTAAAATCATACATAAACAGAGGTTGTAGTGACCTAACAAATTATCTAAAATATCTAAAATATCTAGTTACTAAATATCTAAATCTATCTATCTAATATCTAATCTAATATCTAATATCTATCTAATCTATCTAATATCTAATCTATCTAATATCTAGAATCTAAAATATCTAGTTACTCTATTTCACCCAGGGTTATTCATCTTAATATGAAATAGCTACACAACCTAACTTCGCGCCTGAAGGAATTGGAGAAACAAGAACAAACCAAACTCAGAGTTAGTAGAATAAAAGAAATAACAAAGATCAGAGCAGAGAAGAACTAAATGAAATAGAGGCCAAGAAAACAACACAAAGCATCAATGAAACAAAAAAAAAATTGGTTCTTGGAAAAGATAAAATTGATAAACCACTAGCTAGACTAACCAAGAAAACAGAGAAGATACAAATAAACACATCAGAAATGAAAAAGGAGGCATTACAACTGATACCACAGAAATACAAAAGATCATCAGAGACTATCATAAACAACCATATGTTTACAAACTAGAAAACCTAAAGGAAATAGATAAATTCCTAAAAACATACAACCTCCGGAAATCAAGACAAGAAGAAACAAAACTTCTGAAAAGACCAATAACGAGTAATAAGATTAAGTCAACAATAAAAAATCTTGCCACAAAGAAAAGCTCAGGACCAGAGTCACAGCTGAATTCTACCAGATGTACAAAGAAGAATTGGTGCCAATCCTACTGAAATTGTTCCAGAAGATCAAGAGAGAGGGAATCCTCCCTAACTCAGTCTACAAAGCCAGTGTCACCCTGATACCAAAGCCAGGATACAATAACAACAACAAAACTACAGACCAGTATCTCTCAGGAACATAGATGCAAAAATCCTTAACAAAATACTAGCAAATGGAATCTAACAACATATCAGAAGGATAATTCACCACAAGGGGATTTTATCGCAGGGATGCTAGGATGGTTCAGCATATGCAAGTCAAGAACGGTGATTCACCACATAAACAGAATTAAAAACAAAAACCATACGATCATCTCAGTAGATGCAGAAAAAGCATTTGATAAAATCCAGCATCCCTTCATAATAAAAACTCTCAAAAAACTTGGCATAGAAGAAACATACTTTAGAGTAATAAAAGCCATAAATGAGAAATCCACAGCCAACAACATACTGAATGGGGAAAAGTTGGAAGCATTCTGCCTGACAACTGGAACAAGACAAGGATGCCCATTGTCACCACTTCTATTCAACATATTAATCTTATACATAGAGAACACTAAGGACTTCTCCAAAAGACTCCTAGATTTGATAAATGAATTCAGCTGAGTCTCAGGTTATAAAATCAATGTATAAAAATTAACAGCATTTCTATATACCAACAATGACCAAGCTGAGAACTCAATCCCATTTACAATAGATGCATGAAAAAAAAAACACATATGGAATAGATTTAACTATGGAGGTAAAAGATCCCTACAAGAACTACAAATCACTGATGAAAGAAATTGTAGACAAAACAAATGGGAAAATATCCCATGCTTATGGATTGGAAGAATAAATATTGTTAAAATGACCATTCTGCACTATATACAGCAATATGTGGATTCAACATAATTCCTATAAAAAATACCATCATCGATATCATGCATTGATTTTTAAAAAGATGGTACTTCTTGGTAAGCAGCAGCTCAGAGTAGAAAGAGCACTGGACCTGGAGTCAGATGCAATGCATATTGTTTTCTCTAAATGCCCTCTAATATCCTTACTGGATCTAATGTTCTATTATCTTTCACTACTGAATCTTAAAAGTTTGATTGATTGAGGTAATTTTAAATGGTTTAAAAATTGTTGTCTTTTTCATCTTGTCCTTTTCAAAGGTAATTTTTAAATGGCAAAAAAACACATTTTTACAGAATTCAAAAAAAATTCTAAAATCATATGAAACCAATAAAAGAGCCCAATAGCCAAAGCAATCCTAAGTAAAAAAGAACAAAGCTAGAGGCATTACCTTGCCTGACTTCAAACTATACGAGACTATAATAACCAAAATAGCATGACACTGGTACAAAGGTAGATCAATGGAACAGAATAGAGAACCCAGAAATAAAGCCACATACGTACAGCCAACTGATCTTTGACAAAGTCGACAAGAACATACATTGGGAAAAGGATATCTGTTTCAATAAATGGTGCTAGGAAAATTGGATAGACATATGTAGAAGAATGAAACTGGATCCCTATCTCTCACCATATGCAAAAATTAACTCAAGATGGATTAAAAACTTAAATATAAGACCCGAAACAATAAAAATCCTAGAAGAAAACCTAATAACTCTTTTGGAGATTGGCTTAGGCAAAGAATTTATGACTAAGACCCCAAAAGCAAATACAATAAAAACAAAAATAGATAAATGGAACTTAATTGAACTAAAAAGCTTCTACACAGCCAAAGAAATAATCAAAAAAATAAATAACCTCCAGAATGGGAAAAAATGTTCACAAACTACGTGTCTGACAAAGAACTAATATCCAGAATCTACAAGGAACTCAAACAACTCAGCAAGAAAAAAACAACCCCCTTAAAAAGTGGGCAAGTGATATGAATAGACATTTTTCAAAAGAAGATATACAAATGGCCAATAAACATATGAAAAATGTTCAACATCACTAATCATCAGGGAAATGCAAATTACAACCACCTTTCCCCTGTCAGAATGCCTATTATTAAAAGGTCAAAAGAGGCCAGGCGCAGTGGCTCATGACTGTAATCCTAGCACTCTGGGAGGCCAAGGCGGAAGGATTGCTCAAGGTCAGGAGTCCAAAACCAGCCGGAGCAAGAGCAAGACCCCATCTCTACTTAAATAGAAAGAAATTAATTGGCCAACTAATATATATAGAAAAAATTAGCTGGGCATGGTGGCGCATGCCTGTAGTCCCAGCTACTTGGGAGGCTGAGGCTGGAGGATTGCTTCAGCCCAGGAGTTTGAGGTTGCTGTGAGCGAGGCTGATGTGCCATGGCACTCACTGTAGCCTGGGCAACAAAGTGAGACTCTGTGTCAAAAAAAAAACACAGGTCAAAAGACAACAACTGTTGGTGTGGATGTGGTGTATACTGTTGGTGGGAATGTAAATTAGTACAACCTCCATGGAGATTGCTTAATGAACTAAAAGTAGATCTACCATTTGATCCTGCAATCTCACTTCTGGGTATCTCCAAAGGAAAAGAAATCATTACATCAAAAAGATACCTGTACTTGTATGTTCGTCGTAGCACAATTCACAGTCGCAAAGATATGTAATCAACCTAAGTGCCCATCAACCAATGAGTGGATTAAGAAAATGTGGTAAATGTATATACCATGGAGTACTACTCAGCAATAAGAAAGAAAGGAATAAGGGCTTCTGCAGCAACTTGGATGGAACCAGAGGCCACTATCCTAAGTGAAATAACTCAGGAATGGAAAAAATACCACATATTTTCACTTATAAGTGGGAGCTAAACTATGGCTGCACAAGGGCACACAGGGTTGTGTAAGGGATATTGGAAGATCAAAAGGGAGGAGGGTGATGGTGCAGTGAGGGATGAAAAATTACCTGTGGGGTACAATGTACACTATTTGGGTGATGGGCATGCCATAAGCCCATACTCTACCACTACATGATATATACACGTAACAGAATTCAACTTGTACCCCCAAATCTATTATTTTAAAAAATCAAATAGTTACTGGATCCACATTAAGGATATTTTAAATGTTTTATAAACATAGGCTACACAGTATAACTTTAACAAATCAATATGAACCCAAGTTATCTAATTCTCTCAGAGTCATCTAATGTAAGGACACTTGAATCCAATTCAATGTTTTCAAAAACCAACAACCAAAAAACCATATCTCATTAGTATACCCAAATACTATACCATACCACATCATCAATGCAGATGTGGATTTGAAACATCTGGCCCTCCTTCCTCCAAGACCATCTGTTTCAAGGCATGCTAGAACAAACAGACCCACCTGTACTCCTTATGTAAAAACATTCAGATCCAAAATGCAATTTTTAATGGGTATGTTTGGCAATTAAACATGAAACAAAATCATTAAGCAATATTATTTGATAAAAATTATGTCTTGATAATACACTTGATACTATAAATGAAAGAATATAAACTTGGACTTCAAACATTAATATTAGACTTCAAAGCTTGAAAAGAGAAAGGAAGATTAATACAAGAATTGCATATATTGTTTTTCCAAACAAAAATTCTTTTTTGTTTATTCATTCATTGTCAGTTTTTTCCCCACCTGAATGTAAGCTCGTGATAGTCTACAAAGGCAACATAATTAGATGTTCAAGAAAGGCCTCCTTTCTAAGGAGGTGACATCTGAGCTATGGCCAAATCATAAGGAGCCATCCATGCAAAAACCTCCAAAAAAAGCTTTCCAGGAAGAATACACAAGTAAAAAGCCCCCTAATCCACAGTGAATTTTGGCAGGTGTAAGAAGGAAGGCCGTGGGACTGGAGGGCTGTAGGGGGGGAGAGGCCACAGTGGAGGACTTTGGCCATGGAAAGGAGTTCTTGTCACCACGACTACTGTCATCAGACATGTCTTCAGTTATCAGAGTAACTACCAATTTTCACTATTTAGATAATTAACTATAATAAATTGCCTGAAATATTAACATCAGATGATCAAAGTAATGCCATACATATTTTATAGACTAGTACATAGGTAAGTAATCCATTGTAAGCACAAATTAAGTGTTATATAATTTGAAGTAACTATAATATATCCAACTGCTTAGTAAATCCAGTTGTCTGGCTTTCTGAAGTGCCTGCTTCAACCCCACCTCTATGCAGTCGGGCTTCACGAACCACTGGGATTGACACATCAGTTGAGATACAGCCAACTCACAAAGAAGGGAAAATGAATGGTACAAGGGGAAAAAGAGACTGAAAGACAAACAGAAAAAACTGTCATAAAAGAACACTTTTCTACCCACAGAGCTCTACAACTGTGCAGTCCAATAGAGTGGTCACCAGCTGCATGTGGCTATTTAAATTAAGTTCCTCAGTGTCATATTTCAAGAGCTAGAAAGCCACATGCAGCTACCACATTGAACAGAGCAGAAGAATATTCCTACTTGGCAGCACTGTTGTACAACCTTCTTTATGATGCAGCATTCTCAGGATAATCAAAACATTTAATAATCTCAAGCAGTTAGGAACGTTGGAGAGCAGAGGTCACTATCACTCTTTCCTACTAAATCTAATGAGTCTTGTGCATGAACACCCTCCAGCACACGAGCTTCATCTGTGATAGCATGCACCAGTACCATTCTTGTAAATGCTTTTGTGCATACTACAATTTACATCTGGAAAATCTTGGCAGGTGTCTTAGATTAGCTTCCTCAAGAAGCAGAGCCTGAGATCATTTGAGTGCAAATAGTTTACTTGGGTGGTAATCCACAAAAGCACCTACCACTAAGGGCTGTAGGCAAAACACAGAAGGAAGGAAGACAACACACAGGATATGTTAACAAGCAGGTTATCACTGTGGCAACTCAGACTCAGGCCCACTGGGGATGGAAATTGGCTCAGAGTTGTCCCAGCCAAACCAACTCTTTGTCTGTCATTGGTTGAGAGCTTGCCCCAAGTGAGGGCCAAGCCTGCTTCCTAGACTAGGGAATGCCCTCAGGCAGTCACAGATGTGAGTAGAGAAACACAGGTTTGTTACAGAAGAGGGAAGGTCCTCTGGCTGAGGCACAGATAGCATTAGCTGCAGAAGATTAAACACACACACACACAAAAACCCTATCTAAACAAAACACTAATTTGCCCTTATTACTGTCATTTCTGGCTGTTCCTAATATGAAATGAACCAAAAATATGATACAACTAAAACCATCAAAATTATAGATTGTCTGAGGTTATTTTAAAACAGTGGTGTTATAACAAGTGGTAAAAATGATGGAACAAGTGATGCACACAGGAAATATAGAGTACTTCTAAGGGACTTATTCATGAATGTATTTTTAAATGTATATTTCTATCATTCTCTTAACTTTTGTGACAGCCTTATAAGTATATTAGAGCTGTTGACTCTGGAATACATATGTTTTCAATATTTATATTTTATTCAAAGAATAGCAAATACATATCAAAAGAAAAAAGCATATTCCAGTCTATAAACATAAATTTTTTTATAGCTCAATCATTGACACTTCACATATTAATAAGTAGGTCAAAACATGCAAAGATATGTATAAACTTCAAATCAAATTTTGATTTTTAAAAGTATTTTTAAAGTTACACAATAATTATTTACTATATCTTGCTTAAGATCCAAAGCAAGTATCAAACAAAATTTAATAAATTTAAATGAAATGAAAGGAAATTTCCATTAATTTGAAATAATGTATGCTAAAGACTGGTATAATCTTTCTTTCATTGCATAAAAGGAGATTTCTTATAAATTTTAATAACTAGATTTGTTTCAAAAGTTTCATGTATTCTCTGAAGCTTAAATGAATATTAAATATCTAATAACTAAGTATCTAAACAAATATTTGAAAGATTTATGTAATTTTCATAAATATGATTACATTATGCAAATGTTAGATAATACCTGGTTTATTGAGAGTAATTCCGGTTGTATACAGGAAATTGTCCACTTTCAAAAATTGTTGTAGAACTGTAAGATAGCCAGTAACATTGCTTATGTGATGGTTGTCAGGAAGTTTAATTAAGGCTTTTGAAAACTGAACACTTGGTTGAGATTTGGCATCTGAAAAAAGGAAACCTCATTAATAAATAGAAAAATGCATGTCAAGCATAGCACCATGGGTCACAACATTGTACTTTAAAAGAAGCAGTTATAACCATTTCTAAACATCACTAACATCTTCTCATAATTATTTTAAATTCAGAACCGACTAAATAAGAAATTTGCTTTTCTTTAGATTACACAAGGCACCCTTGTATTACTTGATTCTGTCGCCCAGAATTTTCTCACCCATTTTTGGGTTTCACCCTAGGAAACACCACAATGACCATTTTTAGCCCATGTGGTTCAGTTGGGGTCTCCTAGGGTTATAGCAGTAGAGTTGATGGTGCATACCAGAATGACTTAAACCAACTTAAAGTATCTCATTATTGTTTTAGCCACAGTGATTTGTTCAGTGATGGGTCCTGTCCCAAGCACAGTTAATGAGATGCACTGTGAGTTTTGCTTGGACGTTGCAGGGGGGCAGGGGGGGCGGGAGGAGGAGGTTAGAAGGCTTGCTTTTTCCTCAGTGGATCTTATATGAGCAGGTATATATCTGGGAGTTGCAACAGCCACCTTGTGACCAAAAAATAGAAGCTCATTTGAAAATCAAGGCAATATTCAAAAAGTGGAGAGTTGAAAAATGGAGAGAGTAAAACCAGTTATAAATTATTTCTACTAAGTCCTGATCAAGCCATATCTAAAGTTGGTCCTACTCTGGACTTATTATTTGATAAATAAGTAAAGGTTTCCTTTGGGCGTAAGATAGTTTAGAACTTGGTTTTTAGCAACTTACAACAGAAAGTATCTGACATTCAGCCACATATTTAAATGACTAGGTTTCTCTATCAGATAATTAATCACACATTAAAAGTCTCCCAAAGACAAGGCATTTGACTTATAAATATTATGTCAATAACTTCAAAATGATTATATTCTAAAATTATCAAGTGAGCTCAGTGAAAATACCGATAATTCAGTAATCAACACATTTTAAGAATTCAAAGATCAACTTAAATCACTACAACTGAAAATTATCAAGAACATTAGCTTTTGCTTTTGGACTCTTCATTAGATCACTAATAAAGACAAATGTAATCAGTTAAATAATTAAAATGAATAAAGTATAAGTTTTTAAAGAGTTGCAAGACAATAAATGAAAAAATAAGAGAATCCTGAATCACTTTATTTTTTATGTGTGAAGCTAAAATACCACCTGTAGAATAGTTAAGCAAAACAACATGATTATAATATATATTCTTGCGTGGTTAAGTTGTTTGAGAGCATAATCTGATGCCTTCTGATTGCTTGCAGGTACTATCTATACAGCTCACTCTTTTAAAATATGTGGCTCAATTATGTCGAAGATCCAAATTTCTTACAACTGAAAACATGTACACTAAGTGAAATATCTAACTGAGCTTCTGTAAGGTTTTATAGATTCCTAAAGTTTCCTATTTGTCCTCCTTTTACAACAAATACATTCACGCACAGGGATAACATACTTTCATTGTACAAATTGAACACCTTCCTGATGAAATATCTTATGGAGGTTAAGAAGTGAGAATTTTTTTTTTTCTTTGAGAATGGATTTCTCTCTGTTGCCCAGGCTGGAGTGGCATGGTGCATCATCATAACTCACAGCAACCTCAATCTCCTGGGATCAATCTGCCTGCCTCAGCCTCCCAAGTAGCTGGGCCTACAGGCATACACCACCATGCCCAAATAATTTTTCTATTTTTTGTAGAAATAAGGTCTTGCTATGTAGCTCAGGCTGGCCTTGAACTCCTGGCCTCAAGTGATCCTCCCGCCTCAGCCTCCCAAATTGTGAGAATTACATGCCTACCCTGTTCTAGGAAAGAAGGACGGAAGCTTTTTCCAATACTTCCAAAGGGCAAATGTTCATATTTAGGAGGCTAAAATAGTAAAGGAAAAATTGATTCCCACTACACAAAATAATCATACTATTAGTTTGATAGTAAAATAAAGATTAGTTCATAGTCAGCACTAATCACTGATCAATTTAGATTTTTCTCAAGTTAGAATTAACATTGATTCATTAGTCAAGAAGAACAGTTAATAATAACTTTAAGTGTTTACTTACAAAGTAAGAAGTATTGCACTTACCAGCTAATTTTCCAGTAATTAAAACAGTGTCTTCAAATAGCCATATATTTGCTTGGCTTTGTGGCAACAGTGAAAGTGTAACTGATGAATATACTGTGAAATATAGCACAATTAGAATATTTTATTTAATGTGGGAAATGAAACTGGGACAAATATAGTTCTGTGACAGCAAGTCCTAAAAAGTGGGAAAAAAGGAAAAAAAAACACCAAACTGCTTGATAGGAATAACGATTCAAAAGGAGGAATGAATATAAAATACGATGGAGGAAAAAAGATCACAATAAAATGAGAAGAAAGCATTGGGCATTACTATCTTATTTCACTAATCTTTCCTATTCCTTATAGTAGACTGTACCAAGATGACTAATGATGGTCTATAACTAACTCCAGATGTAAATGATCAAGTTAAATGCTTGAATAACCCTCTGCTATTCTCTCTATACAAGTTATTTGTTATTTACTTCTAAACATTTTTCAAAAGTTTTTTCTTGGCTCCATGATTCAAGGTTCTCTAGATAGAGACTACAATCACTCTTCAATTTTAACTTCCCATAGGAGCACAATGCTCTTCTGCACACGGTATGGTTTGCCAAAAGGACTCTGAGTTGGCAGAGGAGGAAACAATTTAATGTAGACAATGATTCACAGGCAACCTATGGTAGTAACACAGCATGGAGCTGAACCAGCCTGCAAGAGTGGGCAGCTGAGATAACTTGTGGGATGAATAAGTGCAGATCACCTGAAAGACAAATTGCCTCAAGACCGGGAGCAACAAGCTAGGACAAAATACCATTCTATAAATGAGAACAAATCAAATAAACTTATCAATCTTGCAAAAGAAAAATAAGTTTTGAGGAGTTATCCAAAGCACAAGCTCTCATTTGGTATCTCTCTTTGATGCTATAGAAGTATTTAAAATTAATAGAAATAACAGTATCCTCAAGCCTCTTAAAAGAAGATAAAACATTTGCATGGAAATGTTTTTAATATTTTGAGATATTGCAAAGAACCTTAAAAGAAATATGGAAAAAGGGTAAGGTATAGAACATACACAATCCTGGGAAGTAAAATGAAATATGCTCCTTTTCTTCCACAGGAAAAAGAGAATCACCAAACGAAAGTATAATTTCAATTCTAGAATACAGTAACATTTAGATTATTAACAGATTTATTAAATTGGAGAAGAGGTGGTGGGGTCATAGCTTGGACTTCAAGATGATGATAAGTGGAGCATTATCCCATATTTGAATACTTTCTCTGTCATAGGTAGCTTGTAAGGGGACAGCCCTGACAGCTTTTTAAGGCTATTAAACCTGAGGAGAATCTTCTGAACCCAGCAAAACTTAACATTCACATTTCTTTTCACTTAAAAATTTTTCTTATTATAAAAGGATGTGATACCCACTTTGAAAAAGTTGAGGAATACTGAAAAGAAGAAGAAGAAAATGATGGACATTGCAATACCACCACAGAAACAACCACTAATGATAGTACAGAGCTCTTCATTGATTTTTTTTTTTTTTTGAGACAGTCTCACTTTGTTGCCCAGGCTAGAGTGAGTGCCCTGGCATCAGCCTCGCTCATAGCAACCTCGATCTTCTGGGGCTCAAGCAATCCTACTGCCTCAGCCTCCCGAGTGGCTGGGACTACAGGCATGCGCCACCATGCCCAGCTAATTTTTTCTATATATATATTTTTAGTTGGTCAATTTCTTTCTATTTTTAGTAGAGTTGGGGTCTCGCTCAGGCTGGTTTTGAACTCCTGACCTCAAGTAATCCGCCCGCCTCAGCTTCCCAGAGTGCTAGGATTACAGACGTGAGCCACCACACCCGGCCTCTTCATTGATTTTTCCTGTGATTTATTTTGAATAGCAAGTATGATATTGTATACAGAATATTTTTACTCTGCTTTTTTTCATTTAATAATGTAAGCATTTGTCTCAATAAAAACTTTTCATAATATTTTAATGACACATATTTCATTTAAGTATCAAGATTTAATGACTGCTAAAATTACAGATTTAGAATCCATTTCACTATTAGAAAAATATTGACATCAACATCCTGGTACACAAATGCTTGTCCACTATATTTATTTGTATGTTTGTGTTTGAATGGATTCCTAGAAATGAAATACTGGATCAAAGTTTATAAATATTTTGAAGACTTTTGACTTATAGATTTCAAATTTATTACCCAGATAATTTTGACAATTTATATTCCCATTGACAATGTTTAAGAATGCTGATCCTGCCTTGCTTTATCAATACTGAGGACAATAACTTTTTTAAAAACTTCTCCAAGATGAAAAATCTAAAGTGTGCATTTTTTTGGTGTACATATCTTAGATAATTAAGATGATACAGCACATTGTCATGTTTACTAGTCATTTGTATTTCCTGTTTTGAAAATTGCTAGGCCATGATTTTGTCCATTTACCTCATTAAGGTAGGACTTGACATTTTCCCCCTAATTTGTATTAATTCTTTACATATTATAATAAATATATCACCCCTCATTGTTTCAAATATTTTTCCAACCTCAATTGCTTTTTATGTTTTTAACATACAGTGCACAGGCCCTGTAAATGTGGTGCCCTTTATAAAATAAGCCCAAGGGAACTCGTTTTTCCACTCTACCCCATGAGTACACAATAAGAAGGCACCATCTATAAACCAGAAGGCAGGCCCACACTAGACACCAAATCTGCTGGCACCTCAATCCTGGACTTCACAGCTTCCAGTACTGTAAGACATAAATTTCTGTTGTTTATAAGACAACTGGTTTATAGTTATTTTGCTATAGCAATCCAAACAGAGTAAGACAAAGTTTTCTTTAAACTCATGCTCCCTTCTAATGTCCCTATACTGACTTCACTTTGGCACTCTCATTTTCAGCTTACCAGAACAAGATATTCCCCAAATAGAGGGAGAAAAAATCATTTATATTTAGTGGATACAAAACACTCTTTAAATGCTTACTTGGCATTCTTCCGGTCTTCCAAGGCAGGGGGGTCAACACGTAGCCATCTTTGTAAGCAATAATAGTTAAGCTGAGTCCTAATTTATAGGGTACTTTGATCAACACTGCACCATTGTTTTTAGTTACTGTGGAATTCGTCTTCGTGTAGTTTACAAACACTTCTACAACTGCTTGACTCAGGTACTGACGACTGATAATATCATTCACCTGGACTTTCAGCATAAATACAGACACTGGAAAAGAAAAAGACAGAAAGTGCAGCGTGTTATATCCTAGACTGCATATGTCACTATACTTTAAATGCCATTCAACATGTCTGAATAATAGTACAAAACTGTTGTTAAATTTAGGAAATATGTATTTATGGATGGATAAAGAAAGAAGCGAAAACATTCTAACTAATTCATTATTCTTCCTAGAACTAAATAAATTTGAATATAGTCAAGCCCTGCATAAGGATGTTTAAGTCAACGACAGACCGCATATATGGCAGTGGTTCCATAACATATAATGGAGGCCAGGTGCAGTGGCTCACGCCAATAAGCCCAGCAGTTTGGGAGGCCAAGGTGGGAGGATCACTTGAGGCCATGAGTTTGAGACCAGCTGGGCAATATAGTGAAACCCTGTCTCTACAAAAAATTTCTAAAAATTAGCTGGACATGGTGTTGCACACTTACAGTCCTAGCTACTCCAGAAGCTAAGCCAGAAGCATCTCTTGAGCCTAGGAGTTCAAGGTTACATGAGCTATGGTAGTGTGCCAATGTACTTTGCCTGGGCAAAGAGCAAGACCCTGTCTCTAAAAAAATATTCCTATTGCCTAGTGACATCATAGTCATCATAAGGTAGTAGTGCAATGCATTGCTCACGTTTATGGTGATGCTAGTGTAAACAAACCCACTGTTTTGCCAGTTGTATAAAAACACAGTACATACAATTATGTCCAATACAAAATATTTGACAATGACAATAAATGACTATGTTACTGGTTGATGTATTTACTGTACCATATTTTCTATCATTATTTTAGAGTGTGGTCCTTCTACTTATAAAAACAAACCTAACTGTAAAATAGCCTCAGGCAGGGCCTTCATGAGTTATTCCAGGAAAAGGCATTGTTATAATGGGAGATAGCTCCATGTGAGTTAGCCCCTGAAGACCTTCCAGTGGGACAAGAGGCGGAGGTGGAAAAGAGTGGTATTTATGATTCTGACCCTGTGTAGATCTAAGCTAATGTATGCAGTTGTGTCATAGTTTTTAACAAAAAAGTTTACAAAGTAAAAAAATTAAAAATTTGAAAAATAGAAAAAAGCTTATAGAATAAGAATATAAAGAAAGAAAATATTTTGTACAGCTGTACGTGTTTGTGTTTTAAACTTTTATTACAGAAGAATCAAAAAGTTTAAAAATAAAAAGTTTATAAACTTAAAAAGTAAGCTAAGGTTAATTACTAAAGATTTTTTTATAATTTTAATGTAGCCTAAGTGTACTGTACAGTGTTTATAAAGTCTACAGTAGTGTAATGTCCTAGGCCTTCACATTCTCTTACCACTCACTCACCATCTACCACTTTTTTTTTACCTATCATATTTTTGCTGTACATTTTCTATGTTTAGATACACAAATACTTACCATTGTGTTACGACTGCCTACAGTATTCAGTACAGCAACATCATCCTGCACAGGTTTGTAGCCTGGGAGCAACAGGCTATGCCATATAGCCTAGGTGTGCAGTAGCCCGTAGTATCTAGGTTTGTGTAAGTACACTGTGACGTTCACACAACAAAAAAATCACCTAATGATGGATTTCTCGGAATGTATCTCCATAATTAAGTGACACATTATTAATAAGGCACAATATTATTCTCCATCTTTTTCTATCAGTTAAATAGAGAAAAAAGGAGAGCAGTGAATAACAAAAAGACACAGGTTCTCTCTTAAGAAAAATACTTTTTGTCTCGCTAATTCTAATGCTTTCAAGTTATATAGATTTAATACTAATTCCAAATGCAGTCAAAGTTCTTAGAATAAAATGCCATTGTATGCATGGCTTGCTAATTTCGTTCTGTTGTCTGGAAAGCAGATGTTTTTCAGTTCCAAATATCAAAAATATTTCTCTAAAATATTGAAGAGCATTATCCGTTAATTATATAAGAAAAATAAAACATAAATTGAGAAGAAACAAGAATTAAAGCCAGTTTGTACCTAAACCTCTAGCCTTACTCCTCAAGTATAGATCTTGACAATGTGTTCATGGATTTATACATGATGATGCCCACTTAAAAAGAACCTATACCACCAGGCAAATGCCACTGCAAGCATGAATCATGTCTTTGCAAAAGATGCTTTCTCTTCCCCTGCAAATGGGCTCTGCAGTCAGTCAAGGTCCACCTTTGCCATTCCCTGGATGTGTGACCTTCAGTGAGTTATCTTTCAAAGGCCATTTGCTCATCTGTAAAATCAGGAGACTAGTAACTACTCTTAGATAATAAAATGAAATCATGCAAGTAATGTGCTCAGTACAGTAGCTGGCTATCAAATGATGATTACTAGTAAAAACTATTACTCCACAATTGGAGACCACAAACATTAGAGCACACTGATTAGAAATACTTTATAAGGATTGATTATGTTGCTATGTATTTGCATAAACAAACCCATTTTTGCTCACAGTGATTTTTATCAAGAATAGCATGTCAGATAAAAGATCCTAGTCAAAGTTGATTGAGCCTCATTTTTGCTACCACACTGTTGTTATGCCTGTCTGTTCTAACTTTGTTCAAATAAACTGGACCTTAAGTTGCTTTTGGATCATAACAAAGACATTTTAAATACAAATAGAATCATCATAATTACTGCCCAATTCTAGGGAAGGTACAATCCACCAAGCTAGAAAAGATAATAGCTCTGATCCTAAAGAGTCTAAAAATGGGGTTAAATGTTAACCAAACCCTTCTGTCTCTACAGATTCAGACACAAACATTTTCAGTATATTTCTTCTATATATGATAAAAATGTTTAACCATAATATAAAATAAAATGTGTTGAGGGTTAATGAGCCAGGCATTGTGTCCATTTTTACATACATTAAAAAAACCCTCATGGGAGAGATGCTATTGTTTTCTTCATTTCACACATATTGGTAACTGAGAGTTACAGTGGTTTGAAAGTATCATGGCTAACCTAGAGTAAATGGGAAAAAAAAACCAGGACATAAACTGAGGACCATCTCTCCTCAAAGATTATGCTCGTAAACTATTGCAATACATCTGCTTGAACATACTTTCAAAAGCAACTATAGTCCCATTTTAGAGTGTGGAGATGGAAGAACTGATTGGGAAAAGGAAAGAAAAGAGAGGATTATATCCAATCATACCTTAAGATGTGGTTCCATTAGTCAGTCTGAGATAGTGTTCATTTCCTGAACAATATCATATATATTCAAATGTAAGTATGGGGAAGAAATTCCAAGGTGAAATATAGATAACTGAAGTTTATCCACACCTCTGCCTCTTCAGCATTTTTAATGATAATAGCCTTGTAGGAGGTCAAATTATTTGTGAGCAGTCATTACTATCATTACTCTTAAAAGACAAATTAAGGAACATCAGGTAATAAAAGGTCAATTAAGTCTTAGGCCTTCACTCTTACTTATTCCTTAAACTGTTTAACTCTTTTTTTTCCTTCATATCATTAATTCAGCCCATTACTATTACTTTAAAAGAGGTAAAATGTTTGTTAACAATTTAAAATCAAAAGATGATGAAAGGTTAGGAATAAATATATGTGCCTGGTGCCATATTATCACAAAAATCTCAATATACCTTTGTAAAATATACAGTATCAAGTCCATTTTACTGATGAAGAAATGAGGATTCAGATAGGTCATGCAATCTGCTCAGGGGAAAAAATGAAAGGTTGAAATATATTATATATAACATGATGGGTTTCTAAACCAAATGTACTTGAATAGGTCCATCTAGTACAAAAAGCTATTGTAAGTGTAGAGAGTAACTATATGCTGTTCAATTCAAAATAATTCCCCCAGCCGCCCAGCCCCTGATCCCCTTCAGTCAAAATTCATTGAGCCATTCGCATAAAGCACTTATTATTATAGGCCAGACAGATTCTATCAGGACCTCCAAATGTGAATAAAGATACACAGAGGCTAATGTTTGCTGGAGTTGAATTATCTTAGAGAGAAAGTCTAGGAGACCCTACCATTGTACTTTCCAGCACTTTCCTGGTCCCTCTCCTTCCAGAAGCTGGGCTGTGCAGCCCCTCCAGCAGATCTGTGACCTGTATCGTCATCCTTCCCTTTGTTTCTTGTAGCCAGAGTGAGTTTCTGTTGCTTGCTCCTTAAGTAAGCACGTTAGCTGATATAGGGTACAACTGTAAATATAGCCTGTTTTATTTAATAGGCCATGCTATCTGTTATAGATATACATCTTTTACAGAAAGTGAAGGAAGTACAATATTAAGTATCAAAAATATGATAAGCCATATGAGAGAGAGACTGGACACAACTAAAAGATAAGGGAATCAGGATTCCCTATTAAAATTGGATAATGGGTCTTATTCAAACCAAATGGCTCCTTCAACAGCACATTCAGAAATGAGACTTGGGGGAATTTTTATTAATTCATTTGCTTCAAAGATCAATTTCAGAAATTCTCAGAGCCTTTGGATTTACAGACAAATCCCAACGTGTGGTAAGATCTTAAGTTAAATTCACAAAAAAACTCTGCATATTCCATGTGTCTCATCCTTGTAAAAGTAAAGTTGCCAAGACACATTAAAACCTCCTGACATTCTGAAGCTGAGTTTGACATATAAAATGTTTTCTAAAACATTTTCTAATCCAGAATGCCTGATTTTATTTTTTCACAATAATAATGTTAATACAGATTTGACGAGAAAATAAATATATTTAGAAAAAAAGATTTGTAAGGATCGAATCTTGGCTAACAAAATCACAATTCCCTTTTTGATGAGATTCCCTATGTCTGTACCTTAGATCACTTAGTAACTTGGTGCATAATGTAGGTATGACCACCTGGGTCCTCTCTAGCTCAACTTGGAAAAACCTAACAAACTATGGTGCTATTGTCTCCTCCCTAACCCCTTTTAAGTGAAAGCTGACATCATAAATCACAGGTTTTATATACACATACATGTTTATTTGTGTGATACACTCACACACATATCCAGCCCAGTGCTGGAAACTTTACATGTG